CCATTGCTAGCAGGTTGGAGGCCATCACTTCTAGGTTGGAGGCCATTCCTATCAGCTTCCTTTTATTTTCTTTTGCTATTGCGTTGGAGGCCGTCGCGATTAATTAGGTTCAACCCTTCAACGTCTACGGAGTCTACGGCATCAAATCTTGTAGCCCCTCCCCGGAGATCCGGACTGTTCTTCCATATTTGTCAGCCAACTGCAGTAGTAACAAGTGCCTCGCTAGTAGTAACAAGTGCCTCGCTAGTAGTAACATGTAGTAACAAGTGCCTTACTAGTAGTAACAAGTGCCTTACTACTAGTAGTAACAAGAAGCTATTGTTCCGTCCAGCCCTTCCCAAACAGGTTTTTTCTGTGAATCAAGCGTGTGCAGGCTGCCCCAAGGAGAGCAAGCGGCGAGATTCACTTGTCCCCTCCGCGCAACAACGTCAATCCGCCGGGTGTTGCCAAACGTCGGCCCCGCGGGGCCCTTGGCCAGTGTATGGGTCCGATCAACTGCCAGGCCAGATCGCAGCGCCCAACTCAAGCGGAGAGCTCCGATGCGCAGGAATCCTGGAATAGCATTGGATGTATCAGCCAGTGGGGGCCATTGGGCCACTGTGAGGGGGTAATAGATTTCCTCCCATTGGTCGGCGTCGTGGAGGGACATTTCTGCCTTGGCGGCAGCTTGTTGAAGACTGTAGATGTTGGTCGTTTTACGTGTTTGGGTGGTAAGAATGAGGCAAGGCCAGCAAGACAGGTAGTCATTGATGTTAGTTGTTGTGTGAGCACTGGGAATTCAACACATACCTTTGTTTTCAAGACTTCCCATGCTGCTCTTATCGAGGAGTCGTACTGGTTGTGATCCAGATTATTGTGCCCATTGTGGATGGGATGTGGACAAGTGTCCCAAAACCATGGGAATCGTTTCACTGGGAACCGTTTCACCTGTAGTAAGCAGAAGCTTTTATTTAGTATGTCTTTGAAGCTTCCTAGAAAAGCTTTCTAGTCACTAGAAGCGTCCTTGGGAATCGTTTCACTGTGCAGTTTGAACCGGATTTTGTGGCAACTGCTGCCTACAGGAGGTGCATTTGTTGACCTTATCGCCGCCGCGGCGGAAAGTTAGTCGAGACCCTTCAGCTTCCTCTCGGGTGAGTGGATCCTTAAGATACCACGAAGAAGTGGCTCGGATCAGGCGTGATGATGGGTGGTGTGGCCTAAGTTTTGGACATTTTGCATCGGTTCGCACACACACTTGAGACATGCTGCCGTTTTGCATTTTTTGCTGTCGCGACGCAGGCCCGCGAGCTCTACAGTTCGCTTAGTATTGTCGGGTGAAGGTGTAAAGGATAACGTGCCAAGCGCAGACCGGCAAATTGGTCCGATCTCGCTTTTGCAGCAGCCGGACCACACATTGTAGCTTGGCTGAGACCCAGGTAGACTTACTGTAGACTTTTTGTTAAGGCTGTTTAAGTTTGGTTTGAGTTCGGCACATGTTGGCCAGCAGGTACGTCGGCAGAAAACATCAACCTGAACTTCTCAAGCGTTCAGTTGCTCAAGATTGCCTGCCTTTCATGAGTCGAGACCACTTCAGCATTTGCTTTGACCATGGTGAGTTCAGGATACGAACCCTGACATCGAACCCCATTTGGCGCGTCAGATCTGATGCAGAGCCGGTGGAATTGCAACGGGGCGAGCCCGTTGATTTGCAGTCAGGCCGACATCGGTGCCGACATCGCGCCATGACAACAAAACATAGCAAGACTAGCTACACACACTTCGCACTCACAAAACTGGGGTGATATACATATATACACATATTTTTTGGCATCAATAGACCCTAATGGACTTTAATAGACCCTATATATTCGCCGTATTCTTGGGATCCCCCTTCTGGACTTTTCATGATTTCCCATCCAAAACAAAGGAGAATGGTTTTCTTTTCACAACTCATGGTGTTGTCATATGATGTCATATGTATTGTCAGAGATGTTCCAATCACTTGGCATTCTGCCCACTGATATATAGCAGAGCATTCATCACGCAGTTGAAGGCTTTCATCCGATAATCCGACAGTCCAGTCTCCTATGCATTGAGAGTTCTGCTGGTGCAGGGGATCGGATTGCCCTTGGCACGGGTAGTGTCCACGCCTCAGATACTGTAACAAATTCTGATTGAACGTTTCCACAGCTGGTATGAGGATACGCACCGCTCCATGGGCTGGTTATTGCAGTCTCATGCAAGTTTGCTAGCGTTTTTCTTGCTAAAGGGGACCCGCAAGCAAAGGTTCTTCTGCTATGAACATTCCAATGCAGAGAGGCAATCAGTTATGCAGCTGCACGTAATGAGCAAAGCAATGGTTTTAGAATTTTTAAACACTGAGCAAAGCAATGGTCCTACAAGTAGTCTGGATAGGAGACATGGCTTTTGCGAGCAAGTGGACCCTTTGCGTAATAAAGCCCACCGCTCACGAGCATGGCCGGTAATGTTTGGCAAGTGACACCTCGTAGTGAGGCAACGGTTTTAGGACCCAGACATCACAGAAAGCAAGGAGGCAAACTAAAGTAACTAAAGGTTCCAGAGCAGTTTGCCAGCTGCATGGCTGAAAGATGGCAAGTTGTCAACCACCAACAAATGCAGAGGCGCAACCTGGCAATGCACCCCGTCGCCCGGCTCCGTACAGCACCCCGCTGCTACGCTGCTACTTTGCCGGCCTGAAGTCTTGGACACTGCGACTCCTTACATCCCCCTGGCAGCGAACTAGCTACAACTAGCTACTGTACTAGATGCTATGGCCTCCAACCTGCTAGCGATGGCCTCCAACCTAATAGCCGTGGTCTCCAACCTAATGGAGATGGCCTCCAGCTATTACTAGCTAGGTGCTACTAGCAATGCGGTCACTTCTCATTTGATCGCTTTTTGGCGTGTGCTGAGGACAACGCCCCAGAATCTGCAGTCCAAAGTCTTTGCTGGCTGTTCACTGTTGAAGGCACTGAACTAGCACAGGCCGCCGCTCAATACAACTTCTTGTGCAGCTAGTGGTTTGATATGCTTTGTGTTTGATTTGTTGGAGTGTAGCTTCGAATCACACCTCTCAAGTCCTTCGGGCACCACCATCGCCAGGCCAATAGTTTCGAGGGCTGCCGAACACCACCATCCCCAGGCCATGGAGGGTCTATACATTGCAAAAGGCACCTGACAAGCTCCATGAGTTTGCTCCATGCGTTTGCGCCAGGTGGAGCGGGGCCTCGCATCTCTGATCTTCCGCCCATCATCCGTGTGTTGAGGCGGGCATCCGGCGGAAAGTGTGCGTGGCTCGCGGTCTAGACATGCACAGGCGAGTCAAATGACCACGAATGCGCACTGGTTAGAACTAAATAAAACGCCTAGGATGTGCCGTTTGACCCCAGAGAATTTGAGGGGGCAGTCTTTGGAACACCGAAACACTTTCGGCGTACGTAACAACGGCTACTCTATGCTACTCTGTATTTCTCGGCAATTCCACATGAACAACGGTGCCAAGCGAACTCCAACAACCCCAAAGGATCCCCAGTGGTACATCCTGGTACATCCTGGTACTAATGATGTAAAACAACCCCGTTCGGATGAGTAGCACAGGGCATTCGACTTTCGCTGTAACATGCTCACACCGAAAACCAGTGAAGACTTGTGAGGCACATTCCCGAGACACGAGCTGCAGCTGGGGTTTTTGTTAAACGAGTGCATTCTCAATTTGCCATTCCACGTCACAAGGTCTGGGACACTTTTTGTCAGGACAGACCGGTCTCTGAGCCCTGACAGTCCTGCGAGCCCTGCACGCCACGAACTCAGCGGGTGCGCCAGTGGTTTGAATTGAGACTCCGGACACAAGACCGAGCGGGCTGAAAAGTTCTTGGGTCCTCCAAGGTGAACGAATCATGTCTGAGGGCGGGCCAAAAGCCAAGGCCAAGAGCCGCTACAAGTAGGCAAGTCCAGCTGAAACAAGTTGGATTCTGCAAAGACTGAATCTGTTGTTAGCTTCTAAGTGTTTCCCTGGATTTCGAACAGACCGGATCAAGAGGGAAAAAACATAATGACACATATATGTATAAGTGTGTGTGTGCATGGTGGGAATGGTGTTTATTTTGGTTCATATTCTTCCCAGTGGCATTGCGATTCAAGCACACGGTGCACATGTCCAAGTGCACGAATTCAAGGCCCTGAGGGTTGTCCCTGGAGGCATGCGGTTCGTCCAGCTTTGCCTTCGCCTGTAAAGACGCCCAAGGCAAGGTAAGCAAAGCGAAAACTGTGGAGGCGCAGATGGCCACCTTGCAAAACGTGGCGGAAGACCTCCATGAGCCTCATCCTACGGCGGCCTATGGCCTACAGCTCCTTTTGGAGGGCTGAGGCTCCAATGGAGCCATCAGTCTTTTTAATTGAGTTCGGCGTGCCAAAAAGAGTCCCAGAAAGCCGTGTGCAAATTCAACGGAGCCGGTGAAGTAACTGGCTATATATATATATATAACATTATATAACCATATCACTATACTGTAACTAGTTTAGTAGCTTCTTGTTACTGGTAGCGTTGGCCTCCAACCTACTTGCGATGGCCTCCACCCAAGAGCGTCCACTACTAGGATCGCAACGATCAAGATTTGAAGGATATATAAATGTGATGGTGATTTACGTTGATTTGAACATGCGTCTTGGGAACTGTTCACGGCTGCAGCTGTGTAACTTTCCCAAACTCTGGAGCTCATGGAGACTCCATGGTGCCAAATGTGCCCAATGTGCTCATGGAGACTCCCTGTGAGCGGCTCCCACGAGCTGTGGTGGAACAGCTCCGGCGTGTTCATCTCGCACAGCTGGACGAACTGTCCGAGCTTCGTACAAGGATCCGGGGATCCAGGCATGCTGTGCATGCCGTTTGTGTTCACCGTGTGTTCACTTTCCCTCCTTGTTGCAACTGTCCGCACAGAAGGTGGATGCGTCATTGATGTTACTCGTGGTGTGTCCATTCTGTGTCCTGTGTTTTTGAATACGGAGCACGCACCCCCCGCAGATGCTGCACAATCACTCGGCACACTGCACTATTTGCTAGTCATATGTATATGTATATATATATATATTATTGTAATTTGATGTAATTTGGGTTTGGTTTCATGGTATTCGTGCCTTTATTTCTTTCATACTATTGTATACTATTGTGCCATCCGATGCCATTAATGCTTGAGACTGGCAGGGAGCTGCTGCGAAAAGAGCGAGAACTTCGACAGCAACTGGACTTGGCAAGAGACAAGGAGGCCTGGATTTGACATCGTGGCTTTTGTATCCTACACCCTGCATCATGTTCCATCAACGTTCCAGTTCCTTCTGTATGAGGCGGGTCTTGCGAAGCAAGCAGCCTCATGCTTGGATGACCTCATGCAACGGCATCAGGAGATCAACCGACTTCGTCTCTTGGTGGAATTTTTGCGCCAATGGAACATAATGGAACAACAGGTTGCACTCATCTCATCTCATATTTGTTGAGTGGTTTTTATTAGCGTCACTGTTGCCGGCCCTAATTAATGAGAGGAGCAGTATGGGGTAGAAAAGGAAGAAGGAAAGGAAGAAAAGGACTCTAAAAAGAAGAGGTGAACACAAAAGTTAGAAATGATGGAACGATATTTGTGCAGAGTTGGACATAAAAGAGTATCATTCTTGCTTGGAAAAAGGCTTGGAGATGGCGGAGGTTGAGAAAGGCTGTAGCGATGGCGAAGCACATTTATCGGTGTTGCGACGGATCGCCGAGAAGCTCAGCGATGCCTCAAAGGACCGGTTACTAGTAGCTTCTTGTTACTACTAGTAAGGCACTTGTTACTAGT